AGATATGATATATTATTATCGTGTGCGTCTAATTTTTTTCTTATTTTTTTACCCATACGTAGAACGGTAAGTATATATTATAGACATTATATACACGGATCCCCGCACACGTGCTGCATCGTGATTGCGCAGTTTCCGACGGATGTACAGTAGGGTTAAAGTCGTAGGCACTCTGGGTATTTGGGTATAAACCGTGAGAACCGGATGCGCTAAACAACTGGAATTGTGACAAATCCATATTGTTATCTTGTCCTGAACCCGTTTAAGATGCTGCTCCGTCGAAACAGTCAAATTTCACTTTGGATCATTATGCATTTTGGAGTAAATCTGGTGACCAGTGTCTGGCTATGTAACTTTTGGCGGATCAGAACTCTTTGTGAAGAGAGTCATTTGAGATATTCCTCGTATAAGAGTCTAAGGACTAACGCAGATTGGAAGGTTTGAAGGTCTGACAGGACCTTGACAGGTCTAATAATAGATTTGTAAATTAGGAGTTGAGACGCGATTTAGATTTAAGGATACAGGAGAAGATGGCTAAATTGTTTGTCGATTGTTGTGCAGGCGAAGGAGACTGTTTCTTGTCCAATCCAACGACCCTCGTTTGGCATATTTTTGAACTAGACCCGGTCGACCGTTTCCAATATCTGCAGCGCTAATTGGTGGCGACACCGGCCCGGGGGGTTGGTGATATCCGGGCGTGAACGTGTAAAAGTGTCGGCAAACTGGTGTATACCAGCAGAGCAGAGTACCCTCGAGAGTCAATTCCGAAGGCTTCCCGCGGGGGATTATCGAACAAAGGGCATCGCCGCCGCCGCCGGTACAAAATATTGTAACAGCCGCGGTAAGCCGTCTCTCGTAGCGCGCATAGTGTGTCAATACGTGTATTATATTGAAAGATTACGGATACCTCTCATATATTTAATACGGCCGACGACCCCCCCCCGAAGGAAGAGCTTATGGACCTTTACAAAACCACACCGAGCATATTAACGCCTCGCCCACGCCAACACTTTCCACAGTTGCCCCGTTATTAACGTTCAGCTGTATACTGCGCACAAAGTTTTTCTCAACAGACATTTACACTCATTTTCTCGCCGCCGCAAGCTTAAGCACTCAACTCGATACTATACGGGACGCGCATTGCCTGGAAGCTGTAAAAGTATGTGGAAAAGTAACGTAGGATTTTTACTTTCCATGAAATTGACAGAATGACTGCCTCCCAGGTGTTTCATCTTTCAGTCTGAATCTTCTTCATCTTCGCCTTACACACCCAACACCTTAGTCCTTCAACTCCATTGATCTTCTACATACCAGTCTCTATTCCGTCTTATCTCTGGTCTTGCTCTTCCCGTCTATTTGCCTCTGCATTCATCTCCAGAACAACTCTCGCTGCCTCTGCCACATCTCTGCCGGCAACACCACCGAATCGTCTCGAGCTATTCTCTTGCATTCAGTGGGCTCTTACTCGATCAAAGCAGTCAATTGATCGTCATCGAGCGAAAACCGCTTGTGCCTCTACCTCGTTTGGATCCAATGACGGCTTGGCAATTATTGTCAATTATCGTGAGCAATGTCACCGTGTGTTTCACGCTGTGAACAACAGTAATTGAGCCGCGCACATGTGTTTGGCTGCCGGCTTCTCCGGTGCTCTCTGATTGCTGCACGTGGGCGGCCGGCGGCCCTCTTCCATTTCCGAAAACTACACGACCGATTAGAATAGAATTATGACCCGGGGGCACGTATGCATATTACTGTAGGTACCTACTACATTATATGTAAGTCGGTAGTCGACAAGCCGGAGCTGTGAGACCGTGACGACCGTGGCTATACAATTCAAAGCCCACACATACAGCTACCCCGTGCGCTTTCAGCGCCAAACATATTGTCCTACTATTGCATTGTACAAGCAAAGTTGTGCAACTTACAAGTCTGGCACAACCATTGAACCCTCCAGTGGTGCGATTAACCGACTCACCTTCACAGTCTAATCAGCTGGCAGTTAGTGGCACTCACACCTGTAACGTTATCACCGCACCAACCATCTTTGTTATCAACGATTCTTATCAGTTTACGTTATCATTGTAAATAATGTGTACTGTAGCACTGATCCGAAAACCATTAACATTAGCTGGCATTGACCGTCTCGAGGCAACCGATATTATTCATTTGGAGTGGTACGAGGGGAGTAAAAAAAAAAAAAAATACTAATGGATAAAATGTTTGTCCGAAAACAACAAACGCCGATTGTTGGCAACGGATTGATGGGCGCCCGTCACTAGTCCATTAGACTAGACCCCGGGTTGAGTGTAGTACACTAGAGCCTATTGTGCCGTTATAAGAAAACCAAAGCATAAAAAAAAAATTCACTATGTGCGCCCATTATTTATCATCGCGGACACGTAACAGGTATTATTATTATTATATTTAATAATGACTAAACAAAACGGCGCTGATGATGGCGCACACGGTCTGTGTGTGTGTGCGGTCATCTAGAGGTGCATTGGTTGCCCGCCTAATGTGATGATGATCCGAAAAGAGATGTAGAAAACCCTCGCGGGCCCTGGGTATCGCTGTAAACCACACGGTCGCTCCCGTGTACAGGAAAAAAAAAATATATATACATATAATAATAGTAATAATAATTGAATATTCGTCCCGAGGTCCGGAGCACGCGTGATGCCCGTTTGTTGTCATCGTTAACGAGGGGGGGGGGCGTGGGGAGAGATAATATAATATTATACTTGGCGAGGCTGTATGTATAGTAAGTATATTGTAAGTATATAACAGTATTATATGGGCCGACGGGCACGGGATACGCGCACATTCCACACCGTGTATACCGTGTAGAGTAGTAATCTGTCACGTATACTGTATCCGTCTAACATCATATATAAACGGCCACAACTGCTGATGAGACGTATTTTTCACAATCAGGGTCAAACGGGTTCATGCTTATACGTATGGAAGATATGTATATACATAAGATGTTGCGCTATGCGATATAGCTGTATCTAAAGGTAATAATTACCTAGCCGGATTCTTAAGGAACGCCAAAAAAAAAAAACAGATATATATATATATATGTTAACAACACCGTTCATCTCGTCGAGAGTGTTTGACAGTGTGGTGGTAACAGGTCTATGAACAACCGAATAAAAGCATTGTGACTTGCAGTAATGTGCTTGGAAATGTATTTCTAGTAGTTAGAGCGGTTAAAAACTGTTCCTAAAAAAGAAAAAGTTTCCAACCCTTCTAGGCAAAACGGTTAAACGTTAAGAGGGCGCGATACACCCTATTCGATTTTGCTCATCGAGGGCGACGGTCAGTGTAGAGGGGTGGTTAATGTAGATGACCACTTTTACATGTATTTTTTCTTTTTTTGGCATTGGTCAATGTGATGAGCACATAAAATTATTGTCTACTACATGCGCCATTAGAGCATTGCGGTTACCTTTGTTATCTGGATTCGTACAGTTGTCGCCTTGCTCGTTTTATCATTTTTTTAGCTTGTCCCAAACAGTCATTTCGATAGGATAAATTACAATATTTGTGTCCCTTCAAAACTGCTCTGTGATGACAAACTTACTAGTTCTCGTGTATTCGCAGTAAAATCACCAACAATGTTTTGCGTCTATCAGTAGAGCACTTTAACAGCGTCGTGGCGTTTATGTTTGTGCGATAAAAACACAGTATATTTTAAGACAAAATGTCAAAAAAGTAAAGTAGTCGGTCGTCGAGAGTGTGGCCCCGCAAAGGTCAGCGCGAATTTACTTGTAAAATAGTAAAATCTGGTAAAACCTATTATTAATATGTCCAAACGACGGTGACCTTTTTGTATGTAATATGTAAATTTAAAACAGTATTCAGCGACATAAATTATACTTTTTTATTTAATAATATAATATGTCGTCGCCGGAAACCACCATGCTGTGTCCTGAGGTAGCCAGAGACGTTGAATTTCCAGCCCAATCATACTACCACGTTGATATTGTGTGAATTTGTCTTGATAGTTTTTCCGGATTTTCAAGGGTGTGCGTTTCTCACGCGGGCAACGACTGGCGACTGGCGATTGCCCGAGGGATTTATTAATATTTTCCTGGAGAGCGGGCGGGGCTGCACAATTGTGTGTATTGTTAAGCGGGGGCGGTGTTGTGACGACGGTGGAAACCCCGTGGAGAATCGGTGGTGGTAGCAGCAGCAGCAGCAGCCGCAGCCGCCTGTTGCGCTTCTTCCCATTGTAACCCTATTTATCCCAAAGGGGAGGTGCATCGGCGGCGGCGGTGGTTAAAACAAAAGTAAACCTCACCGCACACACAACAAGTGGGTCAGACCGTTTATAAGCCAACACAACACAATAATAATGCGGTCACCCCTGCCGGTGTAGTGTCGAATTGCTTGTTTGCGGTTCGTTTACAATAGCAGCCGCCGCGTTGATTATTCAAATTCGGTCTGCGGCCCAAACAAATAACAAATAACCTCGGTTTTCCCCCGAGTCTCACCCCCGTTCCGATTTTGTAATAATTGATTTCGCGTACTGTAATAATAATACTTGAAAAGCTGCTGTTGAGAAATGTGCGCGAAAACCGTGCATGCCCCGCCGGTGGAAATATATTACCGAACCGACACAATATTTGAACGAAAAACACTTTGTTTGCTTGAATACACCACTCTCATGAAGTTTATGGAAATGTGGAACGTGGGGGCGCCGACAAAGACACTGTAATATCGGTATGTACTGAGTAGAATAGAAAAAAATGAAAATATTCTCAAAAAGTGCAAGGTGGCCTGAAAGACGTCCATTGACATGCGCGTTCATTTAAAGAATGCACATTTTTTTCTCTCTCGACAAAACAACGTTAATAGTATTTTTATTATATTATCATCATCTCAGCGAATAGTCTTCAGATACACACACAAACTGATTGTCGGCGCTTAAACTCTTTAAGTAACTACATGACATAATATGTATATTAATTAATAGTTTTGTCGTTTTTGCACAGGTGACCGACCAAGAACGATGCCGTCGCTGCCGAAGATTATCATCACAGTAGAAACGAACCGAACACATTATGTGAGTAATAATATTAAAACATCTGTACAGGACCGCAATAAATATGTTTATGTGAGACACACGTGTAGACACCGTTTCGATTTAAAGTAAATAAAAAATAAGGAATTGTCACAGCTATTTAAAATACACACCCGAGTTTAGAAGTGCCAAAATAATTTGTTTGGTAAAAAAAAAAACAGCTATATTTATCGACTTGATTCGTCAATTACAATTATGTGAGTTTTTGCCATATTATAGACAACATAAGATTATCAAAATACACAAATAACATTACAAGTGCCGTCCAGGGCAATATACCCCTACCTTTGCCCCCCCCCCTCGGTTAAACTCCTGGCTATAGGTTAGGTTTTTGTGCAACCGGTTGGCGTGCCCCGTAGTACGGCCGGCATAGACGGCGAACCGTGTATACTTTACTCAACACACGGCTGCCACGATACACGATAGGTGTTAGGTTTAAGGCGTTCACCGAGCACATAATATGTATTATGGCCGGGAAACGATGGCAATATATTATATTATTGGTCGGGTACAGAGGTATTGCCACATAGTGTTGTTGTGTGTAATCTGTTTTTCAGTCTGAATCCGATGGCAACGGGGGGGGGGGGAACGTCTCGAACTCGGCCTCGAACAGACCGACCCCGTTTATTTTCGGTAGATTATCATATTATACTTAAAGCGGTGCCGCACCCCTTGTCTAATGTGATTTGTAGTGTTCCTTGCCCCGGTGGTAGGCTGGTGGTCGACCGGTGGAGAACGGTTTGTCATCCGCCTTTACACAGACAAATGAGCCCCAATAACGACGGGCACAAACGTGGCGACGAGTGAAACCTTACCAGCTATCATCGTCGTTGTTCATTAATGAGAGATAGATACGAGTAGATAGATAGATAGATACGACGACTTCCGGCCAGTTTTTAACGCTAAAAATACAACCCAGAAAAAAATAAATAGCATCTCTCTGCTCGAGCAACCAACGCGGACTCCCTCCTGTCTTCCCACCCCCACGATAATAGTTAAATATTTTTTTTTGTAATTTTAATTATCATAGTAATAATAATAATAATAATAATAGTACACGCTTGCAACGGCTGCTGGACTGCGGCCACGTGCGAAAAAAAACGCATATATTATTTTTGGCCGCCACAAAGGAAACGAGTCATCATCGTGTCTTGTGAAGATGACGACGATACACCCTCCCCTGAACATCTTGCCTTCCCCTCTTCCTGAGACACGGTCACCGTCCGTTTACACCCGTTCAGTGCCGACACACTGCCGCCGTCCATTCATAAAAACACCGCAGAGGCCAAATAATTACAACGCCGGTATTATTATATACATATACTACTATTTAGTTGTAGCGCATAGTGTCGTTTATGTTGCTGACGTTTCCGTTTAAAAAAAAAAAAATTCTACATACCTACATATAGTATACTATGTATGTATACATACACAGGCTTCAGCTTATGCCGCCTTATAATCAGAGCTGTTGTCAGTAGAGATCAAAATTCCCCCAAAAATAAAAAAAAAAATGGAAAAATTCCGAAAAACTGTTTTTTTCTTAAGCCTCGGAAGAAAAATGGAAAACTTGAGATTATTTTACATAATAAATTTCAGAAAAACACAATTTTTGTGAGATCTGTTACAACAGCTCTCATTAGTAATAAAATATAATAATTAGTTATAAACTAAAATGTGTTATTAAATGCCAATTGTTACTTTATACATATATACATTTACTTTATAACTTTTATTTTACTGAAGAACAGAAAATAGTACATGACTGATAATGAACAATTTATTATATTTGAATAACAATAATAATCGATAAGTTATAAAACTGAAATTTGTTGTTAAATGTCAATTATTTTCGGTCAATGTTTTACCAGAGAAAGGAAAATAAAAAAATTTTAGAAATTTATTTATATATAGTATGTATATTATGTCATAGTTTCTTGTATTTTTTTGTAAAAAAGAAGTACTAACCCAGATAAGCGAGGACTAAAGCCAAAATTATTTTAACTTAATTAGGTGCTTGTTTCAAACAATTTTTAAAATTATAACAAATATTAATTTAAAAAAAAAAAATCTCGATTAAACCAATACATAATTCTTCGCTCCGTTTAGAATCTAAATTAAAAATAACTAAAAGGTAGATTATAGTTCAGTAGGTTCATAGTTAATATTACAGTAAAAGTGTAATATTTTGTAGTTATACTTTTTGGAAACATTTTTGTCTATGCTATATTACACGATTAATAGATAAAATTCAAACTATTTTTTTGGAGCTTTTGAAACTTTTGAAACTTAAACGGTAACGTTAATAATTTTGCTGATTGGTCGATTACCAGTTTTGGATTATCACTTTTAATGTTATTATATTTTTGAAAACCTTAAATTGGCGAAGAAGGGTGAATTGTTTTTAATTAAAAAAAATTAACCTATCGTTCAAGTTTCAAACGATGATAGTGCTGTAGAAAATATTTGAAAATTAAAATGTGTATATTGTTAAAAAAAAAACATAAACTAGAGTGTGTACAAAAGGAAACACTCCAAAATTTTGAAATTATTTCAAGAGAAAACGAGTGTCTTGTCCTTGACGAATCACCCTGTATATGGAAAAAAATTCTTTATTCCGATTTATTTGTAATAGTAATTATCGGAATACACTGTGGGAAAATTATCCGATACACCATAGGCGGAACGAGACTAATAACCTAACGCAGGACGAGCCGTTTTACCGGTAATGACAATAATTAAAAGAGCTTTCCGACTGTGTATCCCCCCCCCCCACACACACACACACACACATTAATTATATCATCGTAACAAAGTCGGTTTCGAGGGCAGGCCCCACGAGGGGGGGTGCTAGTGGTGGCGGATTATAAATCATTTTCTTTCCGTTAATAACAAAACGTTCGGCCCGGCGGTAACTCGATTATGAGACAGCCAGCCGGGACACACGGGGGGCGGGGGCGGTTAATTTGCCGGTGCACGTCTCACATCAAAAGAATATATTTTATGTATAGCGACAAAATGCGAGCAAAAGAAATTTGCGAAAACTTCTACACTTACTTACAAAAACACTGGCTGGGCGGGGGCGGGGGGGGGGCGGCAAAGTACGGTAGAACAACGCGAGTCACTTTGTTCGTGCAGTTTGCAGAGAAAACTTTCTAATTACGTTATTATGTACACGCCCAACTGGGCATAGCCGAATCGGTTGCTTTTTGCTTTTACCATACCTGTATATATATATATATATATATATATATATACAGCTACCGTCATCCCTTGCACCCTCCCCCCCCCCAAATTTACACGCCACGTGGCTCGACTGTGCCTTTGTTGTGCACCAAACAAAATAATAGCGATAATAACAAATGCGCGTTGTATACATTGTATTATTATCATTATGTCGCCCCTTTCAGAAGAAGAGCTGATTAGCAGTGTATGTATTCGGTTACTACAAAAAAAAAAATGTTATAACCCTTTTTAATTTCCAGTCTAGGTGAATACACAATATTTGATTTGTTCAAGTGCGCAATTAGTTCGGACGATCTAATGTGCTTGAAAATATGGTTTTAGTAGTCCTAGGGGTGGGTACGCGGTTGGGGTTGGTGAATTGTGAAAATCTTACATAACGTTATAGGCCTATTCTGTATTATCTACCTTGTGTCTGACAACCTTCGCCTTAAACAGCGTGGTAAAGCAAAAGTTCCCACCCCTTCTAGGGCAAAGGATTTATGATATTTTTTTGGGGGGTTAGTACTTTGTCTAGAGAATAGACAATTTTTACTGTTTATAAGCAGATACATTTTTTTTTTTTGAGACAATTGTTGTTGTTTCAATTTGAAACGATTTAAATTTAAAGCCCAAGCCCAAGGGATTATTTCTTCGGTCTCCCTATTTATTTTTGCTGCAGAGAATACTAGCAATAGTGGGTTTGTTTTTCCCCTTCGTGGAGCGTATTGTGTACTGTATTATTTTTTTAAAGATTTTTTTTTTTCCAAACCGAACACCAATAAAACCCGAATTATTACAGAAATACTAATAATAATAATAGATTTTTTTTCTCTTTTATTATTGAAAGAGTCCAAGGGGTTGCTGCGGTAGTGGTCACACACACACGTGGGTGCGGGCACGTGGCCTTCCCACCCTTTTTTTTTTTTCTTTAGACAGCCACTTGTAAAATCAGTCCACGTGCCTTTTTTTATGTGTTTTTTGTCGCCGGCCACTTTAGAAAATAAAAAAAACAAATACAATCCTCGTCCGCTTAGGTACATTGTAATAGAACATTATGTTGTTCTTATGTGTACAACAATACATATAAAATAATAATAGTGTTGAACTGTGTGGGAAACACGGCCCAGTTCGCTAATTGGCACACGGTCGAACAAAGTCGGGACGATAAAAATATAATTTAAAAAAAAAATACCCAAACCAATATTGTCGGTATTGTTTTTTAAGCGTCGACCAAAACGACAAACTCAACGCTTATTGCCCATAGTAGTTTCCCTATGTACATATATATCCACAATATCCTTATAATCCGGAACAGGGGAACTCTAAACCAGAATGGATGGTAAAACCCTGTTTTATCATGTAGAGTAGCGATGGGGAATTTTTTATTGTCTTTTGTGTGGTCACACTGGTTTTAGTTACTTTCTGTTCACTTCACAGAAACACTGGAATTTCACTTAAGGTTTAATCATACTGAATTTTATTGTTTTTCTTTAAATGGGCTCATTAAACTAAATTTAAAAACGCTGGCACTTTAAATTACAACACGACGAAACTAAGTCTGTATAGGTAAAATAATCTGGTTAGTATTTTACCTCAGACTAACCATGACGTCACATTACTGAAAATGAAATCAGTGTGACCACAGGTTCAAGTGAAAAATTACATAATAGGTATCACTGATTAGGTTAAAAAGTAATCACCTAATATGTGAGGTTAGGTTGATATAGCCAGCTATCGTTTGATTCTTAAGATTAATAAGG